ACCTTCGATGGGGTGCCGTTGGTGCCAGCGTCAGAGGTTAGGAGTTTGGGAGTGCTCCTGGATCCCTCCTTAACTATGGAGGCCCAGGTAGCAGCCACTGCCAGATCGGCATTTTATCATCTTAGGCTGATTTGGCAGTTGGTTCCCTTCCTCGGCCACAATGACTGGCTACAGTGATCCATGCGATGGTCACCTCGAGGTTAGAATACTGTAACACTCTTTACATGGGGCTGCCTTTGGTGCAGATCCGGAAGCTGCAGCTAGTGCAGAATGCGGCAGCCAGGCTAATGATGGGTCTCCCCAAGTGGGAGTACATCCAGCCTGGGCTGAAAGCACTGCAGTGGCTGCCAATAGCATACCGAATCCGTTTCAAAGTGCTGGTACTTACCTTTAAAGCCCTATATGGCCAGGGTCCGACTTACCTGACGGACTGCCTTTCCCCACATATATCCCCAAGAGCACTTTGGTCCGAGGCACAACATCGCCTGCTTGGTTCCAGGCGCCCAGGAGGCAAGGCTCGCTGTGATGAGGGCCAGGTCCTTTTCGGTGGCGGCCCCTACCTGGTGGAACGAGCTCCTGGAGGAGATCAAGGCCCTGTGGGACCTTATGCAGTTTCGCAGGGCCTGCAAGACGGAGCTCTTCCGCCAGGCTTTTACATACGGGCCGCCACTACCACCACCACCAATGATGTGGACAACATCGGGGTTAAGGATGGCCTGGGAAGATCTGCCACAATTTTTCCGTGACTGATATCACCGGACTTACTTGCTTGGGATCAGCTATAGGACAATATCATCCCCAGAGAACTGTCTATTCACCATCATTGCATATATTCGGGGACCATCCTGCTTTCAATTGAGTAACATTGTTTGTGATTAATTGTTATTAATGTTTTTATTGCTTTTATCCTGTTTTATATGGGCTTTGCCCCTTGTAAGCTGCCTTGAGTCTGTCTCGCAGGGAGGGCGGGGTAAAAATCCCAATAAATAACTAAATAATAAAATAAAAGCGGGGTATAAAAACCCACTCCTCTTCCGGATGAAATGGTAGCTTTGTAAGGTGGACTCTACAGCATCACATGGCTACTGAGCTCCCTTCCCACTCCAGACTCCACCCTTCTCAGGTACCATGGCCCAACTCTCCAGGAACACCCCCTAGCTAGAGCTGGCTACCTTTGCCCACCTCCAGAGGGGATACAGGTTGCAGGAAGAGCTTTTTCTGTGGTGGCACCTCATCTTTAGAAATCCCTTTCCCTGAGGCTCATCTGGTGCCTACTTGACTTTCAGACATGAGGGTAAAACACTAATTTCTATCCAAGCTTTAAACTGAGGGGTTATATCTTTGTTTTGTTGTTTTTTAAAAATATATATTTTAAAGACATAGCAAACATAAAAGAGGGGAAATTATTCTTACAATTCCTTCTTGACAAACTCATGCATAATTTATCATATATTTATATATTTCACATATCATTATGTATATCGCTTGCAAATATATCAAAATTGTACTTTATATATCCTTAACAAGTGTTAAATGTCTATATAATTTACTTATTGTATTCTTATAAAATCTTGACCATGTATTTTCAAATGTGGTTTCTGGTTGTCTAAATGCGTTAGAATTAATTTGTCCATTTCTGCCGTTTCCAAAAAAATTCTTTAAATTTCTTCTCTCGAAGGTGTTTCTGTTCTTCTCCAATATTTAGCATAAATTATTCTAGCAGTTGTAGTCAAATGCAGTATAAGATAAAAGTCATTTTTTATTTTTTTAAAACAATTTTCAGGTTATTCAACAAAATTACTTCTGGAGCAAAGGGTACAGAACATTTTTAATTTTTTTGTAAAATTTCATTAATCCAAGCTCAGTATTTTTTATTTTTTTTGCTTTATCACATAACCACCACATATGGTAAAAAGATCCAACATTATTTTCACACTTCCAACATAATCTTTGTAAAAGCTATTATGGTAGCCTGCTGTGAGCCTGAAGACTGTGGACTACTTTGTGCATATCATACACAGCCAAGAAAGCATGCTTTCTGGACAAGAAGCTACTCATTTTCAAAGGTCCCACTCATACTAGTGCTATTTTCCTTCCATCAGCCCCACACTGTTTTCCTCACCCTTCCACCAAAGGGCTTTTTAAAAATAAGCAACTGCTATCATGCTATAGTATGACAACAGTATAACGATCTAATGTCACATCTACAACCGACCTGTTCCTCCAAGTTTTCGGCTTCCATTTTTAAAAAAGGCTCAAATCCTGCACATTGTGGAGTTAAATGAAAAGGGCTACAGACTTTTTTACTGCTCCTCAGAACAAAAAGGACTAGAGGCCTTTTTTAAAAAATGAAGCTGAGAATTTGTAGGTCATGGCAACAAGTGATTACAGTG